AGTTGGTGGTTTTGTTGAGTTTTGCCCAAGGCTGAAAGCTCCAGGGCTGAAAGGAAGATAATTAGACCATATTAGACCTGCAACTGGAACGTCGTAAGATATGCTGTGCATAGTGTATATCATAGTAACTGTTGTTTAGCTTGACAAGTTCATTTCTTCGAAGACTGCACTCACTTGGGAGCTTTTTTTAGCAATAAACGTTAGGCGCAAAAAAAGGGGGCCATCCGCATTCAATCGAATGGCAGAAGAATTGCCTCATGCGACTCCAGGATCGTGTCTTCCAAATTGCCTTACCATGCCCGTCGGCCCCAGCGGTATACATTGGGGTGGTTTCATGTGGTTTCTGGTGGTAGATGTGATATAATGTGAATAAGTTATATCAAATCAGGTGCTCGAGCTTTTGGACTGAATGAATGCAAGGCTTGTTTAGGGGTTTGCTTGATGCTATCCCAACATCAACTCGATTTGTACGGCAAGACTTGCCCTGGGGCGCTCTGAAAAGAGAGCTTTTTCCATGCACGAATCGGTGCTCAGTGTAGTAAATGGTTGAAGTCTTCACAGGACTAAGTGAACCTTTGCCACCAATTGACATGAAATGGCCCACTGAAATGGAGTCAGATTGATGACACCAGTGGTGTTTGACACAGGGTGTGCTCATCTCAATCCATGCTGCCTGGAAAAGGACATCAACTTGCGTAGCATTTGTCCTTCCACTGTCCACTGCTCATACTTGCTGCCTAGAAAAATCCGACATACACACAGAAAAGGAGTACCTGACAAAAAAAAGAAACAGCTCAGGAAGGTGACATGAGTTCACCCCGCTTTTTGATGTTCGACATGTTCCTTCCAGGCCAACCGTTCCGTTCGCGTTTCCGTTTGCGCCACGAGGCCCGGCCCGACCGGCCGTCCCGCACGCTGAACGACTGGATCGCGCAGACGCGCTCGGTGCCGGAGGCAGGGCCTGGTGACATGCTGCCACCCCAGACACGACCTGTCTGGGACTGCCATATATGCCGATCAGTTGGGATGGTTTTGTGGGGTCAATGGGGCGGCATATATGGCAGTCCCAGACAGGTCGTGTTTGGGATAGGTACGAGTTCTACAGAGCCCGGGACGTTTGTTATAGACTATTTGTGACATGGGAAGGATCTGGTGACCTGTAATGTTTGATTCCCTTAGTAAAGCAGATTCTAGCCCATCGGTCGGACCCAGGGTATGTCTTAGACACTGCTGAAAACCTCTATTTAAGGGGTCATGACTAGTTAGACACCCCTAAGATCCCAAATAGGAGTGCTGGTAGATGGCTCTTCCTCGACCCTGGACCCCCACTTGTCTATATAGGACATTTTATATGGTGGACCTGGACAGACATGCACGTCACGTGTTTGCTTCAAGTGGAACACTCCCCCTCCACCTGGCCCTCCGTCAGGTGCTGGCCCTTGTGAAGACCTACGGTGCGGAGTTCGACGGCACCAACACGGCCACTGCTTTGCCCGGACCGTTGGACCGACCGTTGACCGAGGGTCGTTCGACCTGTTGACCGGACCTGGTGTTCAGAGGGCAGTGTCAAGCTTAGAGATGGTGTGTTGGGGTGTTGGCCCCCCACTACCTGCAAGACTAAGACCAGCTGTGCCCAAGGAGGAATGAGCGATCCACACCGTGCCAAATGGCATGAGTTGAGGGAGAACACCAAGCAATGGAGAAAAAAACACAGATGTCCTCTTGAACTGGGAGCTTGTAACTGGGAGGTCAGGGAGTCCCTTGTTGACACTGATTCGGAACGTACATGAATTCACACATCGCTCGCTCGGGCGACGGACCGCATGGACTGTGCCACCGAGGCATCGCTTGGCCAAGTGGCACAGGGAGGCACCCGATGCCAGGCGAGGTCTTGGAGGGTAGGCACCCGATGCGTTTGGAAAGGCATGGTCCTCCACGACAAACATACCAGGGCCCCCAGGGCCTTGGGGTGGTTAATCGATACCCCGGAAAACCTCTAAGGAGCTGTAATTGGACAGCCCTTAGGGGGGTCCTGGTATAGCTTTGGCATTCTGTTGTCAATAGGTTTGGAAGACGAGCTTCCTTTGCCAGGCTGGGACTACGGGTTTTTCAACACTAGCTATGTAGATGCTGGGGAACAGCTGAGAATTTGCGAGTTCATGCCAGAGAACAGCTGCCGTGAGGTTTTGCGGCTAGTGGCGAGCATCGATAAAAAGGGGTGTCAGCGTTTTGATGATCTGTGTCTTTGCCCTGTATGTACACACGCGCCATGCACCACGTGCCTTTTTTCCCCAGTCTAGCAGACACTGAAGCTGCCACCTTGGTTTGGCCTGTCAGCTGATTGATCTTGTTGTTTCTTGTTTTTTTTTGGGGGGGGGGTCAGACCAGGCCCCCAAGCTACTTGCCAGACATTCCACTTTAGACACCCCTGCGGCGGGGTGTCTACATGTTCTGGATCAGAACATATCTCAGAACCTACACCCTGGAAGACGATCCCATGGACCCTGGAAATCACTGGTTGGTAGAGGAAGGCCATTTGGCATTGTCAGGGTCCAAGTGTTTGGGAGTCTACATTCATCCCAGACACTCCATGTATGCCATATATGCCTACGTTGGGGTGGTTTGGGGGGTCAATGTAGGCATATCATATATGGCATACATGGAGTGTCTGGGCATGACCTTCCAAGACCCCGGCCGACAGAATGTGAGGCTCTTCCAAGATGATCTTTGGCATCAGACCTTGGAGCATTTGGATCGCAACCTGCAGGTGCAGAGTAGAGCCTCGTAGAGCCCGATACAAAAGGCATAGGTACCAAAAAAGAATAAAACGAGCATGAACAAATCATAAAAAGAGGATCAACATAAAATAAAAAGCGAATCAACAAAACAATATTCCTTGATAGGCCTCTTCTGCTGCTCTCCTGGCCCTGTGGTCTGCGGGTCCTCTGGTAATAAGGTCCCTTGGTCCTTTGGTCCCTTGGTCCACTGGTCCTTTGGTCCACTGGTCCCCTAGTCCTCCGGTCTCCTGGTCCTCTGGTCCTGTGGTTTGCTGGTCCCCTGATATCCTGGTCCTTCTGTCTCCTGGTCCGCTGGTCTCTTGCTCTCCTACTCCGCTCGTCTTTCGGTCTCCTGGTCCCCTGCTTGCCCAAATCGAGGCTTGATTGCTTTCTACTAGAGGCAGCTCCCTGGGACGAAAGTAGGTACCCAATGATGGTAGCCGTCCAGTCATTGAGTAGCCCTACTCGAAAAATGGTTCACCAGTAGAAAATGCTCCCTACTAGGAAGGAGCTCCTAGGGAGGTACACTTTCCTAGTCCCCTGCTCCTTCCATCCTCTTCCCTTGGTCTCCTAATCCTGCTACTGCTACTGCTACTACTACTACCCCAACCATCCTCAGTGGGCTAGAATATGTTGTTGATTTCCTTTTTGTTTTTTGTTTTTTGATCCCCGTTGAATATCTATTTATTTTTGTAGATTCTTTTTTTCCCTTACCCCCCACAAAACACCAGAACCGTTTCATGGACAGTGTTGGACTAGATTCAGGAGATCGCGAAAGGTTCGGCTGTGATTTCCAGTTGGATCAAAGGTGCAATGGCGAAAATGTTGCAGCGACAGCAGCAACTATAAAGAGCAATTGAAAAAGTAGCAGCAGAAGTAGAAGGTAGAAGTAGAAGTTAGAAGGAGTAGCGGTAGCAGTAGCAGTAGGAGTAGTGGGAGTAAGTAGGAGTAGTAGTAGTAGTAGTAGTCTGTGTTTTGATGTTGTTGGCAGTGGTAGCAGTACTTTGCTGTTTGGGTTTGACAACTACATTTTGAGCTGTTGCTGGGTCATTTCAGATCACAGATCTTGTGTTGATTACACGACCTGTCCGCAAAGAATCATTCACAAATTGATAATCGAAGACAACCTGGGCTGGATCTAAGACTTGTCCATCTCTTCTTTGATCTTCTTTTCCTCAGTCTCCACCTTGTGTGTGTGTCTTGACCCAGTCCATTGTCCGGTCCCGGGGTCCGGGGAGCGCGAGGCGCCAGGCTTCCAAACACGACACTTGACCAGCGCCTTGTGGTCCTTTGCCACCTTGGGATGGTCTGCCCGGCGCCTTCTCCGCGGCGGAAGCGGACGGGGGTCGTTCCGGAAGTTGTGACCGGGTTCCCCAAGAGTTTTAGACTCATGGGTGCTTCTCCCAGACACGACTAATGGGACTGCCATATATGGCTACGTTGACCCCCCAACCACCCCAATGTTGGCATATATGGCATACATGGAGTGTTTGGGTATTGTGATGATTTTGTTGTGTCACGAGGTATGCGAAATGATCCATCGAGCTCCAACCAGTGCTCCAACCAGCTGGGCCCCCCTAACCTACCCCAACCATCTTCTCAGGTAGTTGGAGCCGTAGGGTATCACAAGGTTGTGCTAGCAAGAGACGGACAGGTTCACCTGTGAATTCCAACACAGGCAACACATTTTTTCTCCAGATGGTGTCAGCTGGGCCCGCCCCCTGGGAAATGTATAATACATAGACTCTTGATTGTACAATAGACATTCATATACGTTCATAAACATCAATGAAAATAACAAAAACCTCCTCATTTGCAGTAAAACCCTTTCCCTATGGGGGGTTGAACAACATTTCAGAGTCTACATTAAGTGGAAAGCGGTCACTACCGGGTTCCATTTGGGCTTTGTTTGAGCCACCGGGTCCCATTCCGCAGTTGAACCACCGCCCGTTCCGCCCGCAGCAAGGGTCCTCAGACTGGGATGCAACGCGTGGTGAGATGCAACACTGGAAAACCTCATCAAAAGGTCCCTGAAAAGCTTCTGTACTTCACCGCAATCACCATTGACCTACCACTATAGACTTTAACCACCCTTTTCCACCGACCTTTCAAGAAACAAGAAAACCGGCCGTTTTCGCCGGCGCCGCGCCCGGAAGCTGTGCATCGTGCGCCCGGACCGCGTGAAAGTCCACGCCGTCCGGTGCACGGTCCGCTTCGGCCGGTATGCAGCCCACGTTGATGCACCAGCCCTCGGCGAACTTGACGATTCTCACCAACGAGGATTCGCAGAAGAACACGAGCATCCTGGATGGCAAGATGTTTTCCTTCCAAGTTTGATGTTTAATTTGGACTTGGGAGATCCAGATCGCATAAATTGAGGCTGAACGCTGTGGAAAGGGCAGCTCAGCAAGCATGATGCTAACGAATTTCACCAGTTGGGTCAAGTGAAAACACCTTTCTGCGATGGAACAAACATCCTGGCACGGAGTTTCTTTTGTGCTTGTGTTTCTTTTGTTTGGAGGTCGGCCAAGCGATTTTAGCTTCAGCTTTCCCCCCTGGACCGATTGCGCTTGCGAATAGTTGAGTGGAGTCCGTTGATGTTCGAGGGCGCGAGTTTTTGAAACGGGTGGGCCAAAGTGCAGAAACAAAGGCCTACAGTCGCTTTGAGAATAGATGGCACAGTCCCCAAAAGAATCCAAAAGGTGGTTTATTTGGACATATTTGGACTTCTATATAGACCAAGACATTTGTCCCATTACCTGTAACAGTCGGTAAAGAACTATAACTTAGACTATAACCCTGCCACCAGTCCTGCAACCTAACCATCATCATCCACTGTTACTGGCAATCGGATATGCCCAAGACATCTTATTGTTTGTGCCATCTACTCTGAAGCCTCTGAACCCACTGTACACTCTGATGAACCAACATGGAAGTGGATGGCATGGTCCCTTAGAAGATGTTTTTTCCAGTACAAACAGGGGATCCCATCCACTTCGAGGTGATGATACTTGTGTCGGGTGTGTATATATACTCGTTTTTTTCTTTCGAACCAACAAGGGTCATCCCTTTTGGGTCACTTCTATGCACTGAAGTTGTTTGACAGGCTTCCAGTAGACGCCTCCAGTAGAGATGGTCCAGGAACGTGTTGATGTGTCGACTCTCTGGCATCATAGACAAAACGTGTGTGTGGTGTGTGTATGTGTGAGTGTACTTTTTTGGGGGGCTGGGGGACTCGTCATTCCAATGTCATGCTTGGAGAAGGGGACTCCTGATGACGGTAGGGGTGTTCTTTTTTCTGAAACCGTTCACCCACGTACCCGTCCCGTTCGGAAGGAAACCCAACTAACTAGCATCAAGGAGCCATGGTTCTTTTTGTTCCCCCTACCTCTCCAACCACTCGCCGAAATCGGGAGACACGGACCCGACCCCGAAGGGCGGCGTCCCCGGAACTCGCACCGGTTCGGCGGGACCGCTCCCTGAGAATCGAAGTGGATGGAAGGGCTTTTTGGATGATCAGTTTCCATCAGAGGCTCAGGTGCTTTTCCATTTTCCATCCTGTTTGTTTCGGGGAGTATGATCTGGTTCTTTTGGGACCCCACCGTCCGTCCATGTCCGTCCCCGCCACTCGCGGTTTGACCGCCCGTTCCGCCCCCCGTCTCCCCTCCAACCCGCGTCCACGCCCGCGTGTCCTCGCCCACCTCTCGATAGATGCCGCGATATGAGGCATCTATCGTAAGGAGTCCTTAGCCTTGGATGATTTGCTCAGCGAGCCACTTGGCGGAGTGGCCGAAGGCGTTGGGACAGACGTCAGGCGTCGACCAACGAGTTCGACCTAACACCGCTCGAGGTGTTGAATCGAAACTAGCGCCGATAAGCTTCATATTGGCTTCATGACGCGAGGGGCTTCAAGCGTGGGTCAGAGAACCAGGTATTCCTCCATTCTCGCAGACTAGCATGGAAGAAGCCTTTGGTTCAGCGGAAAAAAGTGGTTGTCATACGTTTGTTCTTCAAGCAGCATCCGTCGTCAGGATATTGATATTGCAAGTTTTTGGAGTGTATACTGTCCCTAGGGATCCAAGTACCTTCTCAGAAGGTACTTGGACCCTCAAAACCTACATAAGAGTGTCTCCAATCACCTTCTGAGAAGGTACTTGGATCCCTAGGGTGTATATGTGCGCACTTGTTGGAACAGAACGGGCCCTCAAAAACGGGAACAGCTCACCTGCTACCCTATGTTGAAAGCCTTGCCTTGTCCACTTTTAGATCCACACCCGAGTGGACCAAAACGACCAGAGTAAGGCATGTTCGAAGGAGAACATGCCTTCCCAAACACTCCATGTATGCCATATATGCCTACATTGACCCCCCAAACCACCTGAATGTAGGTATATATGCCATACATGGAGTGTGTTTGGGTTTGAGATGGAATTCCTCCGACCATCGACATGGAATCTGGACCAAAACGCCACCAGCCGTCGACCCATCACAGGAGGGAAGATCCTGCGATGGAACTCTTGGGACGTTTGTCCGAGCTCTTTAAGAAGCAGGAGGCCGTTTGTTTGGTGTATTGTTTTTCCCACCTGTCAGGTGAGGGTTGTTAGATTTTATAGAATGTTATGGTTGGGGACCACTTGAAGTAAAGTATTTGTTGTTCGCTTCGTGTTTTCGCGCGACATGTGCGGCAAAGATGTGAACAACTGTGGGAGGAGGGGTGCGTTTTTTTCGATGCGCGGTAATTACGGGGCATGGTGAGTGTTCACAATGGCGCTGTTGATGTGGTGTTGCTGGTTGTGGCTTCTTTGGGGAATGAACTTCCTGATGTGAACTCTGGAGGAATTTTCGGATGGATTCCGGTGGGGGACACTGTCGCGGCCAGCGGCTTCATGTATGTAAACAGATTATACACTATATACTTGAGCAGCTCATGATGTACAATATTGACAACACCCTATCAATTTTGGGGTAGCATGCAGACAAGTACAGTAGTGTTGTGTAATTTGGGCAGTGCAGTTCAGTAGAGTAGGACCAGGGTAGGACAGCGGTGCGACATATACAGTAGCATTAGTAGCATTCTGTGGCGCTTGCCTTCAACTGAGGGAGGAAGAGTAGTGTAACTGTACCATATTTGGCACTATTGTTGCCTTTCTTTCAGCACAAAAACGAGGCATCCAGTTGCTTCCATCATGGTCCAACTGGGGGACCAATCGAAATAGTTTGGAGGAAGGCACAGTAGTTCCACTATAGCGATATCCTCGGTCCTCGTCTTCTATGACTCGGAAAGCGTATGGTAGGGAAGTCGTAATTCGTGATGTCTCATTCTTACAAAGGGGGTGGCAATGAGGAAGGGCAGTAGAATCTTCGGAACAGGGAACGGTGAGGAGGCGGCAATGCAGGTAAAATCCTTTGTCCCTTTAAGGAAGAGGAGTTGTGAGTGAGAGTAATGGCATCCTTGAGTCCATTTCTCTACTCAAGGAAAGTCGTATACGCAAGGAGGAATAGGACGGCCTAATGAAAACGAGGAACACTTGAGTTGCACGGGATGGAAGCAGTATGGACTACCTGATCTACCTGATCTACCTGCTCTTTATTGACGGTGAAAACCAATAATCATTGATCATTTTTGTGTTTTTGTTCGCCAGGACACGAGGGAAGTTGAGGAGTTTTGTGTACTGTGTTTATTCAGTCTTCTGCAAAAAGCACAAGAACAGCCCGCCCTTCAGTTGTCCAGGCGTTCTGGTGTTGAAGAAGTTCTAGCTACGAAGAACTATACAAATACAGATTTAGTTTAGTTTAGTTTAGTTTTGTTGTTTTAGTCTTTATATCTTAGCGGAATACACAAGAGGAGACACAAAGAAACATCCCTCACCTTCCCTGGTTTTCTGGTAAGACTTTCTAAACAACTAAAACAACTCAAACAATTAAACCTTTAGCTAAGTATTTTCAGAAAGCCTGGGACGGTGAAGGATTTGTTTTGTGGTTTGGTATTCCTCAAACATGTTCTTGTTTTCACTGTTTAAACCTACAATGGTTGAGTTTACTGTCAACAACACTAGGCCATATCATACAAGGAGGCCCCCCTTATATATATATATATACAGTCTAAGTATATGTTTGCAAGTATACATATATAATATATATACTGAATATTATATATATATATTATACAGTAGTTATACAAATATATGTGATGTAGCAGCTTCCATTTGGTGCTCCAAAACCAGGAAAGGACCCCAGTTCGGTGGAGCAAACAAGTGAAGCGCTTCCAGGTGCAGATCCAAACCTTGAACGATGAAGTGCAGCGCTTACAGGCTCCGATCGAACCTTGCTTGGTGGGGACTTTTCGGACGTGACAAGGGTGATCCCTGGAGTCATAGCGCCACCAAAGCTGCGAAGCCACCAGGGCAACAGGAGGAACACATGGACGGAGCCTGTACGTGGTGGAGCCATTTTGGATCCCGACCCGCAACAGGACCCGAACTCCTTACACATCACTTCGAGGTGCCAGGGGACTCCCCCAAGAACAGATCAGCTTGTGACTTGTGAGTTCCTTAAATCAGTCACCTTCTTCAATCGTTAGACGCGCACCTTATTTCACTTGCACCGACCAAGCTAAAACCCGCACGCACGTCCTTCACCTGCACCGACCGTGTCACCATCCGAATCGAATCCACAGCTAACCATCCAGGGGCGGATCCGGCGCATCAGCTTGGAGAACGCCGACCTCAAGAGCAATCCGACCACACCACAGGCGTATAAACCTGAGGTGCGGGGCGCGCGCAGTTCGCATGCTCCGCGTACGCGCGATGAACGCGAAGCGCGGAGCGCGTGTCCGAGCGTGTCCAGCCAGTTCCGAGCTGGGAGACGAGCAGACTTTTGGGGGCAAGCTGGAGGGGTTCAGTGACCGATGTGTTTTCTTTTGGGAGAGCACAGGCAGAGAGAGAGAGAGAGGGAGAGAGAGTTGGGACCAGTGGAAAACTCTGGGAAATGTCTAGTGCCGGTTGTCTCATATCCTGGAGGTTTTAGGGGGACCTTTGTAGGGAAAAGACATGGGCAGCATGTGCTTGTAGATGTGCTTCAATTTTCAGGGCCGCAAAAGTGTGGGGCCAAATTCCAACATAAACCGACGGTTCAAGAGGCTAAAGATCGTCGTTTGAGGCATTGCATGCTTGGTATGTTTCCTGGATGGTTAAGGGTAATTAGGGATGGGAATCAACTCAAAGAGGGTTCATCACTTTGATTGGCGGTAGCGAATTCGCGTGGAACTCTTTCTGGCTAGGATACACAGAATCAGACAATCACTCCCAATCCCAGCTCCTGCCATTGCCTATCCCAGACACTCCATGTATGCCATATATGCCTACATTGACCCCCAAAACCACCCCAACTGATCGGCATAGAGGGCATACATGGAGTGTCTGGGCAATTGGGATTTTCTTGTTTGTTTCAGCCTTTCCCACGATGTTGCCACGCATTGGTCCCATCTATCCTGTGACGCGTTGGTTTGCGTGGTGACCAGCGGACGGATCTTCCTGTCTTACAACGCTTTGGAATGAGGAAGCACAGTTGGTCCGTTTGGGGGTGTAGCCACTCGATACATTTTGCCTGCGGCCAAAGGCATGCAACCTCAAATCGAGCGAGAAAGACAAGTTGGCTGGAGAATGACATTATATATATATATAGAGAGATATATATATATATTAGATACATTCCTGAGCAACACCAGTGGAATCCGGGGAAGAGCCCAGGCCATCCAGGGCCTGGAGCAAACACTAAACCATCCACCACGACGATAGAAGGCCAAGGTTCAAAGAGTCAACACACCATGCTCGTAGCAGGAGTGTCCGATTTGTTGAAATCAACCGGGGCCCCCGGGCCAGGGGTGTCCAATAGTAGCTCCGCAGGAGGTGAACATGGGGGGGCCAGCACCCGGAAAGCGGTCACAACAGTGCTGGTTGGACTCGCCGGTGGTCGCGGGGATCAAAGTACTTAAAGTAATAGAAGAGCTTCCTCACATACTAATAGAAGAGCTTAGATAAATAGAAGGACTTAGATAGTACTAATTGGTTGAAACCTTCTGTTTTCAAGCTTGAACCTTCGAACACCAATTGCTGGTAGATTCTGTCCGACCGGACTCTCGTCCTGCCGCCGGCGCGGACTCCGAACGACCCGCTCCAGGAGTTGCCCGAAAACTTCTTACAGCTGAAGATCATGCGGGGCCCTTCTCGGGGCCCACCCGAGCACGAAGACGAGGTGAAATCAGAACAGACGACCGAAGTCAGATTCAGGGGATTCAGGGGTGTTTGGGTTCGTTTGGACGCGAAACAGGGGCGATGAGAAGAGCACCCTGGAGCACCTTGGGGTGGAGGTCAGATTATATTTATGTTCTGAAGCGCTTTGTATTTTTCCAGTATGTGTCTAGTGATGTCTAGTGTATATCATGCGCAAATCACAAGCTTTCCACATAGCTTCCAGCGTTCACCATTCCTTTGGTGGTCGGTCGTATGCCCTTTGGTATCCTTTGGTCGCTGCATACCTATCGCATCGTGGTGGTTCCCTTCGCTTCCCACGCCCGGCACCTTCCGTCCGACTGTCAGGTGCCCGACGAGCACACGGAGCAGTCCCGAGAGATGCCACCCTCCAGTGGCTCGCTGAGACTGAAGTTTTTTCGCCGGGCCGGAGGTGTTTTGTGGTGTTGATCGCTGGTGAGTTTGTTCCTTTGTTGGAGCACCCAAGCTTAAGCTTTTGGGGGGCCTTTGGTTCACCGTTGGTCCGGTGAACACCGAAAGCAGAAAATGGATGGCAAGAGGTCTTCAATAGAGTTTTGAGAACTCCTAGCAGCTCAGTCTACTGGATAAGCGTATGGAACAGAACCAGAGTCCAGAGTTGTGCCCAGAACCTGGCACTTGTCCAGGGAAGCAATCCATATGTGTCAAACAGACTCCTTCGGATGCGGAACTTCGCCCGCGAACCGCGGCTTTGGGGTTGGGATGAACCAGGCCAAAAGTGACACAAAGCAGCTGAAAGCAGCTTGAAATAGACCTATCAAGACGAGTGACTATTACATACCAGCACCCTCTAAGGTCGTGAAGTGAAGGTTGTTGGCCCTCATTCTAGGTCTCAATTGGTGATTTGGGGGGGGGGGATGGTAGACTCTTTCTGATTTGTACATGTCTACATGTCCAGTTTGGGGCTCTTTCAATGAGGTGAGTTTGTTGGTGGACTGTGCTTGAGGTGCCCGGAGACGACAGATGTGGAACCGACGAAGATGTTCCGCCGTCCATAGGTATCGTTGACCGTCGCTGTCACGTAGTCCATTCTGCTCATGTTCCGTGGTCAACATGTCGCTGTCAAGCCAAAGGAGAAGAGATCTTCTCCCAAGGCAACGATGCAGGGCAGCTGTGCGCGCTGCCCGAGAACTTCTGGGAGGATGATGAGGACCCAAGAACCGAAAAGGGTGAGGACAGGGTGGTGGACGGGGTGTCCTACAATGTCCTACATCTTGAGAAATATTGCTGGCCATTCTGGATTCTGGAGCCAGCTTCAAGCTCAGATCCCTACTACATCCTGTGATCCCTACTACTCAGGCTTGGAGGGTTGCAGCTTTTGAGGGTTGAAACCAATGGAACACACTGACTACTGCGCTTTGCGGCTCGGAGACTGGGCGAGCCTTACTGGGCGAGGATGCCATGCCATGCCTTTCGCCCACTTGAGACGGTCTTATGCACTGAAAGAAGACACCCGTACACATCAAATTTATGAGGTCCGTGTTCTTCCGGTGGTTTACTTGTGGGTCTCCTTTGGTCAGTCTGGAACATATTCAATGTGTTAGTACTCAAAGACAGGGTCTGGTTCAAAACCAAGACCCCCAACACCATCCATTTTGGCAGCGTTCACCCCAAATCCGCCACAGTGAGTTGACCCACGGCCCATGGAGTCTTCCTTTTTTCACCCAGTCCTGGACTCCGCCCGGAGTCCACCACCAGCAATCTCCCAAAGCTCGCTGCTAGGAGGAGGAGGAGGAGGTCTTAAAACCACGCAGGAGGGTAGAGGTGCTACCCAGGCAAGTGGCGCAAAACGGAATGGACCAAAACCACAACCTGAGGGGGGGTGTCCTACTACCTGCTAGATCGCAAAAACGAGCGGCTCGTTGGGCATCCCAGCATAGCCCCACATAGGCCATGTCAAACCCCCTTTCGAGCGATCTTGCATCATTCTTGGCCAATTCAGCTAGCTAGCAGCTAGTGGTGGACCAATCTGCCCTTGTTAACAAGACTCATCGTGGCTCATCTCAGCGTCCGAATGGGCCACCCAATGGACACAGTATACTGATAGGTCTCCATACACCCAGACAGGATGCTGGTGGAATCGGAATCAGCGGCCAAACTCCGAACACTTGAGACCCATCCAGTTGTGCTTGGTTTGGCCCATCCGTTGATCGAGATGGTGCATCAGTGGGTGTACCCTATGTATCCTAATGCTTTTTGGCCCAGTGGATGATGGGGTCTGGTTGCAGGCCAACATCTCTAAACATCATGGCTTCTTGACCGACTGTTGCAATGTGTCGGCTGCATCAACAAACTTCTCTTTGGTCAATGTTTGCCCAGGAGCCTTGGGTATCCTTGGGTCTTCGGAAAGTCGGCTTCAGCTTTTCTTGTTGTGCTTGATGTTTCAACCTGATTCGATGACCCAAACTCACCGTTTTTTGATGCTTTTGATGCTTTTTGGCTATAGGCTATGGAAGTGATTCTTCCAGAGCCTTCTGAGCAGTGTTCCAGAGCCTTCCAGAGCCTTTACAGTCAGCTGGTCAGTTTTCCCATGTTGTCAATATGTCTTCCAAAAACCGAGCGGCTTCACCGTCCACCCTTTCGGCCGTTCAAGAGACGCGCGCAGGTGGCAAGAACGAGTGTCCTGGGAAAACACTCGGATCAACCCCGCCCGGGCTCTCGGATGGCTAAGACAGGAATCAGGTGTCGAATCTGCATGGATCAGGTGCCGTCCCAATTCTTTTGGTGCGTGAACCGCAAGGCAGCTGACCTTTTTGGTGGATTTTAGGCACAAAAGTGCAAACAGCCTCAAAGATGGAGCCCATGTAACCAATTCTGTCCAGTTCAAGCAGTTATACCAAGTCTGTATGACAATACCTGCATCATGCAGATATACATGCATATTAATGCATATTATGCATTTGTGAAAAATATACACGGACCGCTACACGGCGAAGTGATGGCCACTTTGGAGAACCCTTGCGTCGGAGAAGGGAGAGAAACAAAGAAAAGAACGGGGTGCGATCCATGGAGATTGGGGGTGTCCAGAACATCCAGTCACTTTAGGGGACTAAACACCACCCCCTTTTGACTCCTGGAAAAGAAAGAAAAAAAGGAAAGAGATCGCGCCATTCCTGCTCTCTCGTGCAGTTTCAATCCATGAAGATGTTGTTGCCGGTTTTGTGGTTTTCGGTTGATTTTTATGCCGTATGGGTCAATCTGGAGAATATGTGTTATATAGATGATTTTTTGACCAATTCCTGGACAGACAATCCAAGTCTTTTTGGGTTAAACATGGCGCGTGCTGGTGATTTTGAAAAAGAGGCAAGACCTCGTCACACTTGGAACAAAGAGGGACCACCCTCTTTTGGCACCATGTTGAAGTGGGATGTGGGGGTGCGATCCTCTAGAGAAGCAAGGATTCATGATGCTCTGGAGCAATGCCAAAACCCAAAACGACCACGGGGACCTGTCCTCAGCAGATACTGTATCTTGCTAAAATCGCAAGCTTTGCTTCAAGGTTAAGCCATGCACCCAATGAAAAGGGATGTCAAGATTGTGGAGAAAGCATGAGAAAGCCAAAACTCTGGGTGTTGAGAAAATGGTCCATTCAAACCGGTCTCCCGACAGACTCAGCACGATCTGGCCCTTGGAAACCCCACGAGCCGCCACGAGCCCACGACGTGCGGTTCTCATGGTGCCGCGATGAAGCGCCCTGCCAAGAAGAGGCGCCCTGAGGCTGGACTCGCGCAGCACTGAATAGGGAGACCCCTCCTGGAGCTGTTTGGTAAAGGGATGGCACTGATGGCACTCTATAACCCATAGGAAGACACGACTGGTGAACAAATGTGAATGGAAACATATATACAATATATATATATATATTAATAGTTTTAATTGCTAAGCTATTGGGTCCTATCGATTTCTATTTGTTTTCGTGTGGTCCCCCGATTCTGCCGAGATCCAGGTCACCTTATTAAGGGCCTAGTTGATTGGACGGGGCTGGCACATGATTGGTAATCCGCTAGCCTTTTGCTATTGGGTTGGAGGCCATCGCTTCTAGGGTGGAGGCCATTGCGTTTGCTGTTTGGAGGCGGCAGAATGAATGTAGGTCAGAGGGATCATCCAACAGGTCCCTGCTTGAGGGCCCTCGTCTACTACAGAATCATACTACATCGATCTACCACAACCCAAAAGGGTGGTTTATAGACCCCCATGACTCTCTATTTTCCATCGAGACAAGCTGTTGGATGGTGGTGGATCTGAAATCGCTCTGAATCCATCGTAAAAATCCCGGAGTGAACGACCAGTTCGGACCCTGTGTCATACCTTGAACTTCTTCGCCTTTTTTCAGTCCAACCGCTGGCGTCCGGTCGTCTCCAGGGCGAGGAGGATCTCACCGATGCCGTGGTGCAGCTCGTCGATGCGGCTGGGAGGGGCAGATGGGAGAAAAGGCCACTGAGCACAGCAGCCCCATGTTTTGGTGGACTAAACATGACTGGGACTTGGGATGTGTTTGGTAGTGCGGGAATTCTGGGGAGGCTCCCAGCCGTTTATTGTATATGTTTGAAGATGCTTAAAGAGTCCTAAGAGTATTTCTCGTCATTCATCCGAACAACCCCAGCAAATCAACTATGAAATTGAGGACCACATCCAGCGTGATCAGCCATAATTAATGTGCCACATGTTCCAAAAAGGTGCATCACATGGAGAGTTGGGGATGGATCCCCAAACCCAACTCGCCCTGATCCAACTCGCTTGACCAAGGTCCACTGGTGCCATGTGAACGGCTTCGACCCACGGCCACACGGCCACGGTTCGCCCCTACCGGTCGCGACCGAGGAAGGTCTTCGCCGCAGTGTCCGAGCCCAACTACGCGGTGCCCTGGGTCTACAAGCCGCAAGACGCCCGTGACCCGGCGCGACCCGGTGACCGGAGCGGCTCCGCTGCGCGGAGGTGGCGGTGTGGCGGTGTGCCGTAGAGAAGAGGACCTATCAGGACCCAGAAGAGAAGCCCAGAAGAGAAGGCAGAAAGCATGCCGTCGGAACCGCTGGTTTGGGGTGGTGATTGGGCACCCTCAAGCACCATGTTGGGGGGGATATGAGTAGATTGAGTAGATACCCCGAACAGGGGGCGAAACCTTTGCATGCGATGCACCAGTGGCTGAGTTGTGCTTACTTGAGGTCCTTGAGTTGTTTTTTTGTTGCTTAGATGGGCCTGTTTTTTCCACAAACCGCTGGGTCAGATCGGGTGGATGCATTTTGGTTTGGAGGTGGAGGTGTATTTCAATATTTCATGTTTGCTTCTGTCAGAGGATGTTTGGCATGGGGGCAATTCACGAAAACAATCACGACGATCGGTACACCACGATGGCTGTTTGCGCCAACCACACCCGCACGCTGCATGTGGTTTGCACACCGCGCGATTCTTGCAGCCCACATGACAGGGGTCAAACAATCAACTCATGCAAATGGCACATCACCCAGAGTTGATCAATAGAACGGGCAGCAATTGCCTGCCACTGTTCACATCGCCCAGGAACTGGAACTGCCTTCGCTGTAACCTGGGAGAAAGAAAGCCACTGAGATTGCAAGTGGGCTGCTGCCTTAGCATGTTGCAATAGGATCCGGGAGACCAAGTCCAGTTTGACCCTTTAGACTTTCAAAATGCATCAAGTGACCCAATGGACACTGACGAAGAATCTTCACCACTGGAATCCAGACAAATGTTGGGATACCTATCAAAAAGAAAATTGATTCCTATCAATAAACAAAACTGATTCCTATCTAAAAACATCAATTCGTATCAAAAATAAAATTCCGTCCTGGTTTGCTGGTTCCCTGGTCGCTTGGTCCTTTGGTCCTTTGGGGCCTTTGTCCTGGTCCCTTGGTTCCCTGGTGCCTTGGTCCTTTGGTCCCTTGTTCTTTTGGTCCCTTGGTCCTTTGGTCCTTTGGTCCTTCGTCCTGGTCTTCGGGTCCTTGGGTCTGTACTTTCGAGGCAAGACGGCTTCAAGGTGAGTTGGAAATCTGGTCATACATCCTGTGAAGCACTGCAGCAGACCTTTTATCACCAGACGTAGCAGACCCTTTTTGTGAGCCACCCTGACGGTAAAATTTAGACGAAGAAGGTGCCATTCCAAGGTAGCAAACCTTTTGTCAGCCACCTGAGGGCAAAATTTAGAAGAAGAAGGAGCCATTCCAACGTTGCAGACCTTTTGTTAGCCTTGCGATGTTAAAATTTAGAGGAAGAAGTTGCCATTCCAACGTAGCAGGCCTTTGTTTTGTGAGCAAACCGAGGGTAGAATTTGCTATTCCAACGTAGCAGGCCTTTTGTGAGCCGGGGATAAACTTAAGGTGCCACGCCAAGGCAGCAGACCTTTTGTGAGCAAAATTTAGAGGAGCAGTAGACCTTTTGTGAGCCATGCGAGGGCAAAACTTTAGCAGACCTTTTGTGAGCCATCCACAGGTCTTGTGGTTGAGATCCATTACAGAAACCTCGAGGTCTGAAATTCAGAGAGATCACGGTTGAGATGCAGAGAGGTTTTGATCTACAAAGGTCCAAAGGCCTGGAGATCCAGACTCTGCAGGTGTAGAGGTCTAGAAACCACAGATCTAAAGATGGAGGCTTAGAGGTCTTGAGTCTTGAGATCCAGGCAAGTCTTGAAATCTAAGTTCTAGGTGTCTAGACTTGCAAAGGGTGTAGAAAGATGTTCAGATCCAGGGATATCAAGAGCTCTTTTCACAGGTCTTGAGAGCCACATAAATTTTGCGCACGCCACGCAATCTGCACTTCGAGGTTCGCAATCGCTGCGCCTACCACGAAGTCTGCGCTTATAGACAGAGGTTCACCCAGCGCCGTGCCTGCCACGCAATCTGCACTTCGAGGTTCACGAAGTGCTGCGCCTGCCATGAAACCTGCAGTGCCAGTGCACAAAGTGTTGCGCCTGCCACGAGCCTTGCAGTTCCAGTGCGCAAAGTGCCGTTCCTGCCATGAAACCTGCTAGTGGAGGTGCTCAAAGTGCTGTGCTTGCCACGGAATCTGCACTTCCAGTGCACAAAGTGTTGCGCCTGCTACGAAACCTGCTACTGAAGATGCTCAAAGTGCTGCGTGTGCCACGAAATCTGCACACCCAGATTCACATCGTGCAGCGCTGCCAAGGCGGTTCGCAGTGGCAGGCGCAGCTCTTTGTGGAAGGAAGTTTTGTTTTTGATACCAAGTAATTTTCTTTTTGACAGGATATAGAAATGTTCTTTTTGACATATATTTATTGTGTTTTTGATAGCCCGGCCACACATGTTTTGTCATCGCCGCAAGGCATGATCCACTGCAGCACCATGGTCCTGCCCAGTCAGATGTCGAGAAACCTTTACCTTTTTGTTGGATTGACATGTGATTTTCCACGGAACCCTCCCCAAAAAGGGAACGGTTACAGTAAATGTTACAGTGGAAACTGTTAGATGATGTTAGGTGAACCGCCTTTCTTTTTACTTTCAGCACCAGGGAGTCCCAACGTCCTTCACGTCCAACCGTTGGAATCGGCCTTGGCAGCCTCCAGACTCCGGGACCTGCAGGCCAGTGGTTGCTGACCAACGCCCACGTGATTCGACACGCTGCGGTGATCCAGGCGCTTGGGCGGACGGCGGGTGGGCGGTTGGGCGGGCCCCTGAGTTGACTCGTTGGGCCGGCCGGTCATCCGTTGGGGCGGCACATGGGTTGGACGTGTCCTTCCTTTCATGTGCCAACCAAGTGGCATGTGACAAAATGCAGCATACAGCATATGAATGCATATACAGCATGCATCCAAGATGTGCAGAATGTCGTCAGATTGGTTTGGGCATATCACTGGCTCAGCCTTGATCCCGTTGACTTTGATGTTTTGGGATCCAATCAGCGATCGGCCAAGAGAGACCGTCGCCGTCCAGCGTGATTGTAGCCCTGTCCGGTCCTCACAAGGTTTCCCACATCAGGTGATACAAACAGAAAAGACAGTCATAGTACATGGTGAGGTTGAGGAGAATCCATGTACGATGAGTGTGCACACCAGCCTTGAAGTATGTTTTTGTCCAAAATCCCGGACACTAATGGACACTTGTGTTTGAGGCAGGATAGGATGCACGTCAAACCACGCCTCAAATAGAGTTTCCAAGCATGCACCCAAAGACAGATTTACATCCAAACCCACACATCCACAGCTACTGTACTGGCTTCCTTTCCCCAACCAAAACGCCCCCGGAATCACTCTCCAGGTGCGGAAGCGCGGTGACCACCAAAAGTTCCTGGCGAAGCTCTTGTGCGTCGGCTTGGACTGCGACCTGGCCATCTTGACCCTCGGAACCGATCCACTCCGCCCAGTGCCGTGGTCCTTCGTTGTCCCCCGAACGGCCGGAGCCCGGGGCTCCGCCGCGGGGTTCCCGCGAACCGGCGGGTTCGGACGTTCCCAGGGGAGAATCCTGGTGCGAACGGGATCGAAGGGACGTCCAAGCTGTTTTGGGGCCCAGTCCTCAACGCGTCCAACGTTGGAGCTCCAGCTACGCTGCATGTCCAAGTCGCCTCCAATTGGGTGAGTCGATGTGTCGATGGGCATCCGAAGACATACCAGCTTCTTCAGTGTGTGGTCCCTAACTTTGGAGCCCCTATAAGATCCTATAAGTACACACGTCACTCATGGCCGGCGATGTGCACGTCAACGTTTTCCTCACAGGATCCACTCAGTCCGGTCCACTTGAAAGAACTAGAAGAACCCGTTGGGTTTGTAGGGGTTCTTCCTCGAAAGGTTTGCCTCATCGCATGGGCTTTCCCCAGAGAGAGATCCCTTTTTTGCAGCGCGGCGACGGCGAGGTGTGAAACGAGGATACATCTGCGAGACTGGAGACACCGACCGATGGCCTGTTTGTACCTAGGTGTACGGATTTCATCTTCCAGGTTATACGGATTTCATGACAAACACCGGTGCCACGAACGGAACGCGAACATGCAGTTCCAGCACTGCTTCCTGTGGCTCAGGACGGTCGAGAGCCCGCAGTTCTGGGATGGTTTGCCTAGAGTTCGCCTGACTTTTGCCTGCAATGTGAGGGTTGAGGTGTGAACCAAAACTGGAAGAGGGACAACGACGGTGCTCAGGCTCGTACTCCAGACTCCGAATGAATATATCCCTGTAGACTTTGCTGAGGGTGATTGAAGCTTGTACCTACAGTCCTACAGTCATGATTCCTGATGCAATGTCCGGTGTCCAGCCCCTTCTTGGTGCCGAGTACGCAGATATTAGCAGATAAACCACAGCAGTACTGTACTTCCTTGAAGGGAATCATGTAACGTCGCCAACTATCGGCGAAACTAGCTCCTAAACTATATCAAGCTGCAATCTGGAATTCCTTATTTATGTGGATGTTCAATACCTAGTAATGAGAATGCAAGACCCCAACATGCCCCAAATTGCAGCAAGATACAGTAAGTGCTTTGAAGATTTACTAACTTGTTTTATTGCACTGTAAATCCTTCGCTTGCTGTTGCCGTTGCCTTTTTTCTAATGCCTTTTATGTTGTTCTCCTTTGTGTGTCTTCCGCTTGCTTTGCTTCCGGGTGCTGTCAATATGTTGTTGAACGTGATGGACCAGCTGGATCCGCTCCCGATTCTGCCGCCGTCCCGACGCCGCGCCGTCGGTCCGCCCCAGGAGGCGAGAAGATGCGCTGCCGCGCTTGCAGGAGGAGGTCACGGTGGTGGGTTATCCCATCGGCGGGGACAATGCCTGCGTCACCGTGGGCGTAGTGAGTCGCATCGACATGCAACGCTACAATGTGCCCGGGATTCGGAAGGGTCGGGGATGTGGTGGGTTTGTGGTGGGTGGGGAGGGTGTGGGATGACTTCCTCTCAAGCATGCTCTAAGAACATGCGGCATCAGTGTGATATGCATTTTTGGACAGAGTCATGCTTTTCCGTGTGTTTTTTCTTGGTACGTTTTATGACGCCTCAAAAGAGAGGGGTCCCCATTCCCCATGCATACCCTTGCTAGAAAGTCGTGTTTGTTGTCCCCTTTTCATGTTTAGACCAGAAATCAAGGACACATGGAGTCTACACATGAACACTCAAGGGAGATGGGCGTGCCTCCTCAATTGTCAATGGGTGCTACGTGTGCCCTCCTTCCCTTGAAGGAGGAAGTACACGCTTCAAGTCCACTTGGCTGTCTCCTGTGCCTCTTGAGCTGCTGAGAACTTATTTGGTATACCTTCTTGATTGGGTGTCCTTTTTACCTGCAACAGTTGAACATCGATCACTATTTTGGAACAAGGCCTTTACTGGCCATCATCCACTGGGCCGCAGGGAATAGGCTAGACCCAATCTCTAGAGCCTAGAGTTGTAAATAGCGACCTTCGCATTCCCTAGGGATCCAGTCGTACCTTCTCAGGTTCGGTACCTGGACCCTCCAGGCAGCTACAGGAGCTTGGCGCGTTAAACGCTCGCTCCTTCCTGGCCGAACCTGAGATGGTACGACAGAAAATCCCGGCAAATTCATCCACCTTTGGTCACCCAGAGGTCTGTTGGACCCAGAGTTTGCTGGCCATCCAGATCGACGCTGCGATCAATCCGGGCAACTCCGGGGGGCCCTGCTTCGGCGCGGGCGACTTTTCAGGATGCTTGCTGGGCGTGGCTTTTCAGGCGACGTACGGGTACCGTCCCCGGCGCGCTCATTTGGAGCAGCGTCAAGCAGCGCTCATTTGGAGAACTATCCGGTAAGCATCACCTCGTGAGGGGGAACATCCACTTTGGCAGAGGTTTTGTTGTTCACCTCTCATGATCTCTCTCTCATTCGTGTGAAGAAGTTAACCATGCAATGACCATTTTGGAAATGGATTTTCATGTGATTTCCCATGTGCCAACCCATGCCGAGCCGTGGAGGTGCTAGGCCGGGAGGATGCGGAGAACATCGGATACATCATTCCTGCTGAGGCGCTGACGCGCCATCGCGCGGTGTGGGACGGTGGGAAGGAGAAAAATGCTTTCGCGGGGAAAGATGACCACCAGGTGGCCAGCTGGTTGTCAGATTTTGGGTATGCCGGAACGATTCAATGTACCAATTGATATGTTGCGGGTTTGTTCAGTCATCGCCGGAAAGAAACACCAAAGGCACAGGCACAGATTCGTGGCTAAGCAGATCCAACAGTTTTTGGAGATGCTTTGCTTCAGTGAGTAGACTTAGTCACCTTGTTCATCGTTAACATCCCCTTCTTGCAGCGGAGCTGGATCACGTGAAGGAGGGAGCTCCAGTCGGTTCCTCCTGTCGCTCCACTTCCTGGAACCTGACTCGGTGGGACAGATGAGGGTGAAGACCACTTGGAATCCTTGGTGGAATCCAGGTGGTTCACCACTTCTTAACTGACTACATCCAGAACCAGCGCTACACCGGCTTTGGCAGCTGTGGCTTTGCAGTGCAGCCGCTGGAGAACGCTCGGCGGCTCGGAAGACCAACGCTCTGGTGGGGGGGAGGCTTTGCAGAGGGGCTCAAGAGGGCACCAGCTCATCGGCGAACTGTCAATGTTTGACCCTCACGGTTTTCCCACGTGAGGATGCGCCTGGCATGGAACCCTCCACGTTCCCGCCTGGCGCGGGATTGCGCCTAGGATGCGCCTGGCGCTGGGTTTGAAGCCTCACCAGAGCGGCGTTCGGGTGACCATGGTGCACCCCGCCTCAGCCGCCCACGAGGCGCATGTTTTCACCTGGATCGGCTGGCTCTCCGAAGAACTTGGGTACATGGTGAGGGGACCAAAAAGGGTCTTCAACGCCTTACAGTGGTTCAGAGTATATGGCACAATCCCTAAGTTTGATGGTTATATGGACCTTTATAGACATTTTGGGGTGGTGCCACCTACTCTGAAACCACTGCACTCCAAAAAGAGAAATCATCTCAGAAAGTGAGACTTTCCTTTTGAGCCCGACGCGCATCAACATTCCCCCTGTTGCAACACAAAAGGATTGCTCAAGTTCGCTTCTGCCTCATAGTGTGCATACATCCTTGCAAGACTCTCTCGACAACAAGCCTTCGCTTCAAAAAAAGGAGGGATATATAGGGATATCTATCAGGACCATTTGGAGCCGCTCCTTGTTGGGAATCATTCATATGGAGCTCACTTCCCACCTGGGTGGTGACACTTCATGCGGTTCGACCCCTTGAGTCGAACCGACCCTTCACCCTTCGGTCACCGACCCGACGCCTCCGCTCCGGGCGACCAGTCGGGTCGGGACGCTCGGTCGCGCAGGTGGTTTCGGTGGGGGATCTCATCATCAAGGTGCAAGGCCAAGAGATCGGTGCCTTGGAGCGGAGCGCCGGTGGGAGCCGCCGGGGTTGATGGGGCGTTTGAAACATCAAGAAACGCCAGAAGCTCAAGGTTAGCCGGTTAGGATGGATGTTCATGCTTCGGTTCGTGGAGAGGGGATAGACTTGGTTGGAGCCTCAAACCCCTGGTGTTGCCTTCATTGAAGGTGAATCCAGGGTGAATCTCCTGAAAAATTCGGGTGTCCTTGCGTCCTTGCTGTGTCCGAGTCCTTGATCACCAAGGAGACGATGGCAAAGTTCCATTTCGCGGCACCCGGAATGACAAGACTGGATTTGCTTGAGTACCTTTCCCTACAAGTCACAGACCTAAGTTCACCCAAGTTGATCATACAGTCATACACGATTCAAGAAGATCAAGGACCAGGTTTTACTGGGTCTTTGGACTTGTAGGGTTTGTGTGTTTGTTCTTGGTGAGGCATAGGCCCAAAGGTTGTGAGTTTCAAGAGGTTCTAGGGCCTTAGGGAGAGTGCGAAGCCAACAACATCCAAGGATTAGATTCATCATGACCAATCCCTTTGCTCCCCCTTCGTCGGTGAACTATATGTCAACAAGTGTGCCGTAGCTTTTTCACTCTTTGATGCCATTTATAATAGCCCAGCCTCCAACCCTGCATCCAAAACTCACGGAACCCCTGCATGTTGCCCTTTGTTTGTTTTTTGTTTCTCAGTTCCTGTCCTTTTCGGATGCCCTTTCTTCCCATGTAATTTGATTTGAGGCAGTTTTTTGCAACCTTGTATCTATACATATACAGTATTGTGTTTATATATAAATGATCATATTTGTTGTTGTCCTGACTACTGCTTCGGCCAATCAAAAAATAGCTTTTGTTTAAATCATAAACCCTGCGCTCCTGCATGTGCATGGTTGAAACCTCTCTACCCTCTCGGGCATGTCATTGGAAGTGCTTGCCCAGAGAACAATCGAAACATTGGTTTCCGGTTGTCGGCCAACTGCACCCCATCAAACATGCCGCAAGTGGACTGAAACACACCTTGAGTACTATTCCCTCCACTGATACAGCAGACACATGAGCTGAACGAATATGCCACGGGGCCCTAAATCATCCAGATGCCAAGATTCCCGGTGTCTTGGAATTTGTTGTGTTGAACTTGAGTAACTTGAGCCACTTTGAGGAAAGGATTGACTTTCACTACTTGGTGTCCAAGTGCTTCGTAGGGGACTGGTGTCAATTCACTGTGCTGCGGCAGAAGAAGCAGAGCCTTTGCAGTTTGCAGCTAGAAATTGCGAGCGCACTTGAAGCTTTAGCTAAACTCACAGCAATGGGAGGCCTGCCTCCTCTTCCCTTTGATCGAAATGTATACATGGAGTGACCTGCAACAATTTGACTGTGCTAAGTGTGTCCGTTTGATTCCAGCTGGAGTGCTTTCGTCTTCAAACTGCTTTTCCAATGCAACAGGTTTCATGAAGACCGCATTCCAGTCAGTGAGGTCTGGGAGTTGACATGTCATTCTTCAACAGGTCTGGGAGTTGACCGTGGCAGTGTTTGGCCAAGTTGGTCGATCTGAGGAGAGAGCTCCAAGTGCAGCTTTCGGCGGTGCGGCCACTGGTGCTGCATGACCCACCAGATCCACCACAGTGTCTCGGCACCGGATCAGTGTGGAAAGGAAGAAATTCGAGAAATCGATGGGCGACCACCGGGGTCATGTAGAATTCCGTCTTTGTCGGTGATCCGTAATGATTTGTTTTTGATTGTTCGGGGGCCTTTGGAAGGAGGCCGTTCTATTTTGCAGACACAAATTGAAGAATAATACAGGAGCATAGTGTCGCAGAAGGGAAATGATACGGAATGATGAGTTTGTGAATACCGTCGAGCGAGTTGATGTTGACCAACAACCATGATCAGACATGGTTCATGGTGATTGATGTTTGTTTTTGAGAAAATCGTGCATGCTTTTGCCAACCTGTTGACCACACTGCCTTATCGGCCCCATTTCTAGGATCCTCGAGCCACTCGTTCTTACGCGTTCGCGCGGTGCGGAAATGGCGTGCTGCTGAGACGACACGTCTTGACAAGTTGGCACCGGAGCCTTTTCTGGCAGGTGTCTCCGAGGGATGCCGATCCCCCTCCTTTCGGTTGGGCCTGCTGTCCCGACCTTCGACATGGCCGCAGAGGATGATGGCGATGATGGCTACGACTTCGACCTGTTCGTTGACGATGCCACTTCGCACCACTCGGTATGGCCTGAGCCTGAGCCACCTGCCCGAACGACCACAGAGACCTTTCATGTTGAGCCCAATGAAGTTGAGCAGCCGCCGACATCTCCTACGAGCTGGCGGTGCCTCCGTTGCGACTCCACGAGGGCGACCTATGTGGGCCAGTTCGGCCGTTGGCATTGCTCGGACTGCGGAAGCCATGAGTTCTACCAGGTTGATAAGCCCACCAAGTCCGTGACTTCGACTGGCACATGGATGTACGTTCCGAATGCCCCTGCTGCTGCTTCACCTTCATCGAAGGGTGCCCGCCGCAGGAGAAGGAAGAAGGATGCACGAGACGGTGGATTCCCTGGTGATGACCATGGCCAGGACGACGACGAAAATGAACAAGCCGAATCAGAACAGTTGACCAACGACCCTGTCATCGACCCCGATGGCAAGAGAGGGCCACGAGCTGGACACCTTCCTCATTCTGGGTTGCCTCATGGAGTCCCTCCTCAACGGCCTGACCAGGCCGGATCAGGATCACCACTATCTCCTGACGGTCAACGACCAGCTGGTGGTGCACCTGACCACGATTCACCTGTACCTGTCCTACATGTGAAGACACCTTCAAGGAGGTCAGACCGACCTTCCAATGCCGCCGGATCCTCAACACCTCCGGCAAGCTGGAACTCCAAGAAAGGGCCTACGCCCGGAGTGAAATGGAAGTCGGGGCAGCCACCCGCTGTTCCGACCTGGAAATACGACCAGAACGACATGCGCGCCTTCGCCAAGTTCACGAAGAAGATTGCCATATGGCGCCTTCAAATGGAAGCCTATGCCAGCCCCAAAGAGCAGGCTCTGATTCTGTACAATGGCCTCACCGGCGAACTTGAACAAGAATTGGAACACCTCTCCATTGAGGACATCTTCAAGCCGGATGGGGTGGATGTCATCATGAGCTTGCTCAAGAAGCCATTTGAGCAACGCCTCATTTACCAAAAAAGGAGATTTCTGCACGAGTTCGAGACCTTCCGCCGCTTCCAAGGCGAATCGATGAGGGCATACGTGCAGAGATTCAGGAGGGTGCAGAGATCTCTCAAATCCGTCGGAGTGGAGATAAGTGGAACATTTGACTCCGACTCGCTGGGCTCCAGGTTGTTGGACCGCAGCGGTCTGTCCTACCAGGACCAAAGGATGGTCCTCATAGGCACGCAACAAAGCCTGGACTTTGAGACCATCGCTGAGTGCCTAGTCCTTCAATGGCCAGAGTTCAGGACCGCTCCACTCGTCGTGAACAAGGACGGACAAAGCAAAGGAGCTGGCAAGAGCAAGCATGGAACTTCATCGACCTCATCGACGACCAGCGGATCTTCGACTTCGGCATTCACGAAAGGTAGCGGCAAGTCCATGAGCAGTGGCAAGTCCATGCCACGACGACAGACCTACATCACCGAGGTCATTGATGAAGAGGCCATGGAGGCCGATGAGTTTGAAGATGCTCATGAACAGCCCGATGAACTTGAAGTCGAGGCCGAACAGGAAGAGCAGCCAGAAGATGAAGAAGGCCAAGAGGCCACAGATGATGTGACCGACGACTTGACCAACCTCGCACAGGTCCTGACGGTCACGGCTCGCAAATTGAGTGGCATCACCTTGGGTCGCAAGTTTTCCACCGGCAACAAAAGCAAGAAGTCACCGGATGAACTCCGAAAGGTGACGCATTGCTCTGCCTGCGGTGCTTTGGGGCACTGGTATCAGGACCAGGCATGCCCGATGAATCAAGGAGCTGGAGCTGGAAAGGCTGGCAAGTCTGGCAAGGGGTCCAAAGGATCTTCAAGCTCGAGCTACCGCCAGACCTCAGGCCCTGACAAAAAGGCTGATCGTCCTCATCAGGTCAGCGTGGTGCACCATGAGCACGGGTCCCTCGAGGTGAACGATGCACCCACTTCAGACTATGGGACAATGTTTGCCATCAACATGGTCACCAACCTCCCTTTTCAGGTTCATGAGACCAAGGGCTTCGGGACTGGTGGACACGACCTCACCGGCTACATGGTTTTGGATTCAGCCTGCCAGAGAACATGTGCTGGCAAAGCTTGGTACCGGTCCCATGTTGACATGTTGTTCAAGCACCACCTCAAGACCAAGGAGATCCCCTCGGAAGATGTGTTTCAGTTCGGCAAGGGTGAACCAACGGTTGCACACGTAAGGGCCTATATCCCGGTGTTTTTCGACAACCACCCCCTTGTTGTTGGAGCAGGCATCCTCCCGGAAAGCATTCCTTTGTTGGGAAGCAATGCACTCATGGACTCCCTCGGTTCGATCATCGACCTGCCGAATCGAGTTGTTTACTTTTCATCATTGCAGTGCACAGTGCAGTTACATGTCAAAGGAGGTCATTTTGCTGTTTCCATTTTGGATTTCAACCACGAGCACCCACAGCGTCTTCATGAGTGGAAAGCGTTTTCTGCACCACATGTTTGGCATGATCCACACCCTGAACTTCTCCTTCCGCCGCAGCCGATGAACGTCAAGGTGTCCGCTTCCACCTCGACATCCAATTCGTTGTTGAAGCCGCCCCAAGGCCTTCCTCATGCGGACGGCGCCGCCTGCATGGCTTCAGCGCTGGCGCCGCTTGGTCTCATGCCTCGAGGCCTTCAAGAGGAACATCTGGATCTACATGGCGGGGGGCGTGCGATTGGGCATCATGCCCAAGTCATGGCTGGACCATGCAGTGCCGCCGGAGATGAGCCCACGACTTCATCCCGAGAAGTGCCAGCACACGGTGATCAAGCGGTACGGCAATGCGCATGGCAGGTTCGCACGTTGCCAAACCTGCCTTCGAAAATGGAAATGGAACAACAAGAAGGAAGATTGGGACATCTGGTCTTCCCAAGGAGGTGGCTATCTCGCTTCCTCTTCTCGACAATTGCCATTGCCACAGCCGTCATCGAAGGCAACGGCATCTGCAGGGAGCACCAGCAAGGCTCGACCGAAGCCCAAGGCCAAGAGCACAGCAGTACCATGCTCGGCCTGGACATCAACTCTTTCGGGTTGGACGAGCTTCGAGATGGGCTATACGCTCCACACCGACCACTTGACTCAGGAGGAGCAGGTGGAGGTCTTCAGGATCCTGGAGCAGAGGTCACCGCTGGAAGCAGAGCCGACCACCGTGGCGGAGTTCGCCTTCCTCAACGAGGAGCACTTCAGACCTCACCGGGAGAAGCTGGAGTTGGCGGCAGATCGAAAGAGGCACGAACGCCTGGTGGAGCTGGGCGTGTTGATCGAGGAGGACGAGGAAATCATGGATTGGGGCCTCATCGACGAGATTGTGAAGTCAGAAGGGCCAATGGACCAGATGGTCCACGATCCATAGCCCTCAAAAGCGGCCAGGCAAAACGACTTCGAGGAGACTGGAACAAGGCCGCTGACATCCTCGAGAAGGAGTACCAGGTCTATGCAACAAGCAAGCCGACCATGGAGAGACCTCCGCCCTATGCTGACCTCTGGGAATTGTTCGCTGGAAGTTCAAATATGACCCGGTTGGCAGCTCACTATAACCTGAACACCTTGCAGCCCATGGACCTCCTCTATGGCCAGAACTTCAAGGACCCAGCCATGCGTAAGATGATCTTCCAAAAGCTCGACCACTATAAACCTTGGCTGGTGATCATGGGAGTGGACTGCAGGTTATGGAACCAGTTCAACATCAACCTCAACTGGTCTTCACCAGACAGGCGGCTTGCACTACGCCACTTGCAGGACGATGAGAAGGTTCTTGTCGAGTTTGCCGTGGCGGTCGCACTACGACAACACCGGGCAGGGCGCTATTTCCTGCTCGAGAATCCACAGCGCTCACAACTGTGGAACTTGGAAGAGGTGACCGACCTTTTAGGCCTTCGCGGAGTTTGGACCACAGACCTGGACTGCGGAGCTTATGGAGCTGAAGTTGATGGACAACCAATCGCAAAACCCATGAGATGGGCAGGAAATCAACCTGGCCTACATGAACAGCTCAACCGTCGGCTCACACCTCTCCAGAAGATGTACTGCACTCCCATTCAGGGCAAGCTCACAAGACGATCTCAAGAATACCCTGATGAACTATGTCACGCAGTACTTCAGGAGCTCCGTGCACTGATCTTCCAAAAGGAGCCCCTACGATTTGGACCACCACAACACAAGGTCTATGCAACGGCCTACCCAACGGCCGATCTCGACCTATGGGACGACATCGTGAAGTACGTGGACAATGTCTACGAAAGAGGAGCCAAAAGACCTTTCAACTTCCCCGTGGACTCCGACATGGGCAAGAGGATTCAAGAGCTCTTCCGCATCAAGGCCGTGCGCATTCAGGCTTTCTATGCTCCGACTTCCAGGAGGATTCCGGCCAATGTGGATGAGTACTTCACGAGAGCAGCATTCCTTCAGTATGCTGGCAAGACCCGTGCAGTTGAGGTCGAGGACTTGGACCAGATCGAGTTCCCAAGACAGCGGTTCTCAAAAGCTGTCGCCTTTGGCATTTTCGCCTACGGGTTCAGGATGGAGACCACTTCACCGGCTACACCGGCTCCAGATGCAGACAGGGCCATCATTCCAGGCCTCACCACTGACATCTCCTTCAGCGGTGTCGACGGAGTTGACCAACATGTGAAGCGGTCACTGGCCCGACTACACCTGAACCTGGGACACCCCAGTACTCAAGAGCTGATGAGGCTACTGGCGCATCAAGGACGCATCCCGGCCACAGTCATCAAAGCAGTGCAGGGCATGAGTTGCTCTACATGTCAACGACTGAAGCCACCTCAAGAACCACGACCAACCAGCATGCCTTCATTGGTCGCAGGGCAATTTGGTGATGAGCTGCAGGCAGATGTTTTCTACTGCCGACTACTGGATGGCACTTCGTTTCCGGTCCTCGGCATCATTGATAGAGCAACAGGTCTCCACATGGCTGGCCTCATGAAGAACCGGGACTCGGAGACCACTTTTGAGCTCCTCACCGACCTTTGGCTTCGACCTTATGGTCTTCCTTTGAAGTTCTCATGCGACCCGGACCGAACATTCCGGGGAGAGTTTGAGAAGCGCCTGATGTCACTCGGTGTCATCGTTGAACACTGCCCACCAGAGGCCCACTACCTCATCGGCATGATCGAAAGACGCAATGCCATCTTGCGTCTGACCATCGAGAGGCTGATTGACCAGTTCGCCATCGTCGACTTGGCAGACGTCCCACTGATCCTGGTCCAGGCATGTCACGCCTGTAACACAATGGCATTCACCAGAGGACGCTCTGCATACCAAGCAGTCTCCGGAAGGGTCCCACGGCTGCCAAATGATGTGCTCACTGACGGACAGGTTTTGAGCACCTCCACTCAACCATTCCGTGACCCTGAACATCCTGGACTACGAGCAGAACTGGTGCGCAGTGAAGCTCTGAAGACTCTCATCGACCTTAATGCACAACAACAGTTCCGTCGAGCTCTACTGCGCAAGACAAGAAACACCAGCATCCCAGACCTTCAACCTGGACAACGATGCGCAGTGTGGCGCTGGACGAAGAAAGGAGTCCGCAAGAGAGGCGCATGGCTGGCAGCTCGATTTCTGTCATGGGATCCTGCCCATGAAGGAAAACAAGCCTGGGTGAGACTTGGTGCATCGACCACTTTGGTCACAGCAGAACAGCTCAGGGCTGCTCACTCCTTCGAAGACTGGTGCCCTGATGAGCAAGACATCAAGGTCTTGAAGGACGCCAGCAAGAACTTCGGTCAGCACATGCTTGAAGACGAGCGCGGTCCACCACCGCCTGAAGAGGCCCTGACCCAAGATGCTCATTTGGAGCAGGAGGCGCTGGAGTACGACAACACGGCACCACCGATGACACCAGCAATGGCTGTTCCGGCAACACCAGCTCAAGCCTCACAAGCAGCACCAAGCACACCAGCACCACAGGGCAGCACTACCACAAATGTGCAGGTCAACATCGACAGCCCAACTCACATGCACCATCACACCACGGTGCAGACACTACAACGGTTTGGGGATCTTCCCAAACAACTTCGCACTACGAGGTCGAGAGGACCCACCACACCTTTGGAATCAGCACACTCCAAACGGACTCGTGCAACACCGGCTGAACTAGCAGCCAGCAGCACTGAACATTTGGCAAACACTGCCACGGGCGAAACAGCCCCAGCAATCGCACCGCACAGCGAGTTTCACCAAGCAGAGGTGGACACACCTCAGGCACCTACCATTTTGGAGGAGCCACAACACCCGCCAGAAGGTCCTCAAGTCACCTTTGCACCTACACCGGCAGAACTGGTACCAGTACCAGATGATGAGGACCTGGCAGAACCTCACGAAGTACAACATCAACAGGAAGCAGATACAGATGCAGCAGCAGCAGGAACAAGCACTGAAGACGCGGCAGCTGCAGCAGGAACAAGCACTGAAGACGCGGCAGCTGCAGAGCCACAAGCAGAACAGGCACACACACCACAGCCAATGGCTGATGAACCACTTCCAACACTGCCAATGAAGAGGCCATTTGACACCTTGGCACTCTCACTCGAGGAGGACGGCACCTTCTCGTTGGCAAGCAGGTTCTGGAATGGCACACCGCCACAACACTATGGGCCACAGAGCAAAACATTCTTCAAGTGTTACACCACCACAGCACAGCGTCAGCAGGACATAGCAAACACGGACAAGCCGGCAGAAGAGTCTGACACATCCGTGGATTCGGAGGACTCTTCAACACAAGCAGACAACAAGCAACCGCAGCGACAACACCATGCTGCAGGCCTCACCAGGCAAGAAAGGAAGCAACTGGACAGGGAAATCCCCTGGCGCCACATTCTGACCATGCCAGCTGCTTACGTTGACAAGTTCTTGGCAGCCATCGAGAAAGAGTCCAACAGCTGGTCAGAGTGGCAAAGTGTTCGACCCCTCACCAAGGAGGAGTGTCGCCAAGTCCTTCAGGACAAGAACGTCGGCCAAGGCGAAGTCAAGGCTAAGTGCCGCATCGTCTGCCTCGGTCACGAGGACCCTGACCTCGACCGGCTCTCCAGGTCATCACCGACCCCAGGCAGGACCATTGAGATGATCTGCTACCAGATGATCGTGTCTGGACTCAATGGCGAGCTCTTCAACACCACCTTGAAGTGGTCAGCCTGGGCTGGAGATGCTCAGACCGCCTTTCTACAGGGCCGACAGAAGGACAGCGAGCGCCCCTTGCCGCTCTACATGAAGGCGCCAAAAGATGGGCTGATCTCGAAGACAAGTTGCTGGTCCCACGAACTGTACCAGATCTTGGGCAATGTCTACGGCCTCTCAAATGCCCCACACCTCTGGAGCGAAGAAGTCTCTTCGAGACTGTCCACCATGGGCTATGGCCGACACGCCTTTGATCCCCAACTCTTCATCAAAAGGGACAGCCAAGATGATCCCATCTCCGCCATCCTCGTCTACGTGGACGACTTCTTGGGGCTGTTCAGAGAAGATTACGACATCTCTGAAGTGCAGAAGCTCTTCCGCTGGGGCGACTTGAAAGCCTTTGAGCCTGGCAATCCCATCACCTTCAAGGGGAAAGAACTCCTCATCGAGACCACTGATGAAGGTCGCTACAAGATGAGCATCAAGATGGAGAAGTTCATCGAAGGGCTCGACAGCGGCAAGATCCCCAAGGGCAGGTCCACCCAGGACCCCAAGCTGACGGCCACAGAGCACCAAGAGTTTAGATCCGTCAGCGGATGCTTGCAGTGGACTGCAACTCAGTGCCGACCCGAAGTGTCGCCACTTGTGTCCCTGGCCAACCAAGGAGCTGAGACAAGCTATGTCCATCTTAAGTCCCTCTACGATGGCATCAGCTACCTGAAGAAGACAAGCTCTCAAGGCCTTTGCATCCAGGACATCCCCTTCCGCAAGGACACCCTCATCCTGGCTTTTTCAGACGCCAGCTGGTGCAATGCAAGCCGCTCAGGCTCACAGATCGGGCTGCTTGCAGGCTTCACTACTCCCTCCGTGAAGATGCAGCCCACCAAGTACACGGTCATTGACTGGAGGAGCTGCCGAGCTCCAAGAGTATGTCGCTCAACGCTTGCGGCAGAAGCCTGTGCAGCAGATGAAGCATCGGACAGAGCAAGCTACTTGAATCGAATGGCATCCGAGCTTCACTTCAACGAGCCAGCACACCGAGTCGGAGCTCGAATGGCCATGGCCCAGGCCATCGACGCGAAGTCCCTCTATGATGCCTTGTTGGCTGATGCTCCGAACATCTCGGACCGGAGAAGCTTGGTCTCGGTTCGATCGGTGCAGGAGGTCATGCGACCTGACCAGGTCCACTGGATCCCAACGAACTATGAGTTCGCCGACGGCCTCACCAAGGTGGACGAAAAGCTCATGTACATGTTCAGGGCATGGCTGGAGAGTCCCATGGCCGTCCTCGTCGAGCATCCTGAGAACAGCGCCATTTTGGCACGGCTTGAAGCCAGTGTGGCCAAAAAGAAAAGTACCAGTGAGAAAATCGTGCATGCTTTTGCCAACCTGTTGACCACACTGCCTTATCGGCCCCATTTCTAGGATCCTCGAGCCACTCATTCTTACGCGTTCGCGCGGTGCGGAAATGGCGTGCTGCTGAGACGACACGTCTTGACAAGAGTTTTGAATAGACTGTTCCACAGGGATGCATGATGTTTGGGTGTTCCAGGTTTTGCATGGTTGTTGATGTTTGAGGGTGTCCTAACCTGCTTTCCCCACAGTCACAGTAAGATACCAGTCAGTGGGTTATACGAACTGGGCATGCTGGGTTGTCACAGGGCCGTCGCCGCTCGTGTGCTCCGTCCCACTGTCTGCGCGGCACAGATGTTTTGAAAGCAATGCACTGTCGGTGCACTTCACCTCCTTGCTACGAAGTGGCTTAGGGGGGTAGGCAGAAAGTCAGGACTCTTTGGTTTACCCTCCCTCCAGCGATATGAAAGGAGAAAAATATTGTTTTTTCCGGCCATGCCATCCACTTCCATGAATTGTTAAGGCGTGTGTTATAGACTAATAGAGGTGGGAAAGGTGTGGTCGCGTGTGACTGTGCTGTGAGGTACTTCATCATTGGGGGCTTGGTCTTCGTGCCCCTGTCTGAGCCCTTCCTGTGGGATGACTTTGGTGCTTTGGCTTTTCGGCCGGGTCGTTGAAAAGGAACTGCTACACAGACTGAGAAGTGACATTCGTGTGACACTCCCTCGGTTGCAAGTGACGGAGAAAGCTATATAGCAGCAAAGCAATCCTGAAACCTCGGTTCTGAATACATCTGAAAACTGGAGCACCGTCCTCCTGAGACTGTGGAAGATCGTGCTAGTTCGAAACCATCAATGCAAAGGACCTACAGATCTATGATGATCTATGCATGAATGGCTACCCCTCCTGAATCCTGGTTGACTACCTTGTCGGTCATCCAAGTCGGGTCAATCGAAGCAGAGTCTTGGATGGCTGAGCCAGGGAAAGAAGTAGCGGGGGAAACTATGTGTTCAAGTCCGGGAGGCTTCTTCGACATGCAGAAATCGAGTTCCAACCAGACGACAACCAATATCCAGACACTGCAATGTACGGAATACTTTTACCAATTACATTGGGGTGGTTTCAGGGGTCAATGTAGCCATAGCCCATAACATCCCACAACAACGGAAACAAGCAAAGGAAGCATCACCCGGCTTTCACTGAAATCCGGAGGTCTCTTTATTGAGTGTCAAAAATGATCATGTCATGTCAAACTGGTTCTGCTCGGGCCTCTCGCCTTTTTCTCGCGTCGCGTGACCGCAAAAACAGGTGCCAACTATCACAAAGATGCTCCCATCAGCATGCTGTGGCATTGGTTTGATGGAGTCCGCGAAAGCATGGACCACGAAGTCATCGTGCCTGGACCCAAAAATCAGGGTATCATGGACCCTCTTCAGAAGCGACGGCGCAGGGCTGCTGGCACAAAAGCGCTGGTGTTTGAGGCACCCTTTGGTCGCTTGGCCCAGGCCCAGGTGGCCTCGAACCGAAAGGGATCCGTTCCGGCCGGCTTTTTGCTCCGTTCCAAGCGGACTGCGGGCTGATACCCCGTTCAACAGGGTCCCCACCGTTCGGAACAGCAAGGACCTATGCCGAGCGGACTGGGAGAAGTACGCACAGTAGTACGCACCTTTAAAGATGACCTGCATCCTGGATCTTCCGACTGTGACAGATGTGTGCCTTTTCGTCCATTTATTTAAAAAAATCGGCAGACATTTGGCGTTGGAAGGTCCAGCTATACCGATAAAGCATTTTAAAAGGGTTTGGGGCGGTTTGAGCCTGAGTTTCTTTTCCTTCCTTCCAGCGGGGTTCGGGTTCGGCCCATTTCTTGGAGATTCTTCCTTCACACACCTGTGGCTTCCCGTGGCCACCTCAGTGCACCTCCATGCACCACCGGGTCCGGCTTCGTGCCGGGTCGGAGCTCAGGTGCTTTCGCAGGTCCTGGCCTCTCCACTGACCGTGGGCTTTACCGAGCCTTCGGCTGCGGCATTTCGGGTGACAGATGGATTCGGCATCCAGGTGTGCTTGGTGATGTAGTTCGAGGTAGGGGATGAATGTTTTTGGTGAGGTGAGTGTTCCAGGGATGTCCACCACCAATCAGTTTTGACCATGTTTGGAATATGTGGTGATATGTTTTGATAGAGCATATCGCGGGCACCTTCACATAAAAGACAGCCCAAATACCATTGAGCCTTGTTCATCCTTGAAAGGGTTTTGCTGTTTTGTCTCCGTTCACTTCCAGCCACGTTCAGCCACATGACATGCGAAGGCGGCTGGGGCAAGATGTGGAAAAGAGTACAATACTCGTAGGTGGACCATTCGAGGTTTGCTGCTTTGGGTAGTTGCAACGCATCACGGCTTCACCTATGCCTGGTCAACATCTAGCCATTCAAAGGCCTTTCGGAAAGGGCCAAATGGATTCGGAGTGATCCCGGCCGTAGGTGTGACACCCGCTGATTTGGTTGCTATGTCCGAGGCTTAGGGGCCATCTAGGGCATAGAATGGCAGACCCCACCAATTTGGGGGGGCTTTGCAAAGCATTGCAGATGGCATTGAGTGGGGTATGCCATTGGGGGGTTCTGACATTGAGTGGGGCCACTCCTTTGCAAGGCTTTCATCCAAGAGTTTGCAAAGCATTGCAGATCACCTCCTCAAACAGTGCGCATCTCATTGCACCAGCAGCCTCCTTCTGGTAGCAGGTCACCCTGGCCGCCAGGTACCCTCTTTTTCTGGGGCCGGTCGGCAGGGGAGGAACATGCACGATGTTGCATGTGTTGCCCCCTGCAGCCGCCCAAGGACTTCTACAACGTGCTGCTGGTGAGGTTCAACGGCCGGAAGGCGTGCCGAATTGGGCTGTGCATGTGAGAGTTCCGGTGCCTCCTGATGGCTTTGAGGCGACCAGCACATGGAATAGAAAAGCGGGTGGATGATTTATAAAGATTCATTAATTATCATTAATTGATGAATGAATGCTTTTTATGAGTCAGTTCTTTGGCTGATTTCACTCGGAAATCCATCAGATGCGACTGATTTCCCACGAAGCTGCATCGCCCAAGCACGCCCCTTGCGCCTGCTGAGAGGTGAAGAATTTGGAGCACTTGATGCTCATGGTGCAAGGCTGTGAGGAGCCGCTTTTGGTGTGTTTTTGAAGGGACCTGGGCGACGGTCTAACCCAAACAGGACTACTGGGACTGGCATATTTACCATAGATTGGAGTGGTTGAAAAGGGGTCAATGTGGGCATATATATATATATATACCATACATGCATTTTTGGGTAAGAACTCTACTAATCTCCACAGTCTCTGTGTTTTCACCTTCATTCACCTTTGCGAGAAGCGTCTGGGAGCAGGCACCGTTTCGGGAAGAACGTGAGGGCCCAGGGCATTCCTCGTCTCTAAAGACTTCCTCCTTTCGTCCCGGCGGAAATGCGTTGCATGTCTATGTTTGTCCAGGCTTCCTGGAGTTCGGCCAACTCCGAGCCCATCAACTTCAAGTGTTTCGCAACTCTGCCAGGAGGAGTACTTGACCTTCGAGATCGAGCGAAACAATGTAATCATTCTGCCACGAAAGGAGGCGACCCAGCAAACTACCCAGATTCTCAAGGACGGAACGGGCACCCGGATGTTCGTTTCCTGCGTGGATCCCTGGCCGCGTGGAATGGTTTTTTTCTCCATTTGATGCTTTTCCTGTGGTCAGTGGTGCGGATTGGGTGTGGTTCTTGTGGAATTGAGGTGTTGGTTTTTATGAGGTTTGGGTTGATCATGCCAGCTAGAGTCGGCTCTATAGCGGGTTTTTCAGAACAGCTGCCGGGTGCGAGAATGACAAGGACACCACACAAGGAAGAAGTGAAGGTTCACCCTCAATGACACTCAAGGTATAGGGTGCCTCCCATTACCCGTAACAGTCGGAAAAAGATACAGTAATCACTGTCTTGAAGAAACGGTTTTGTTTAGCCATCGTCATCCACTGGTAGTCTGGTAATGGAATATACCCAAGCCAGTACCCAAGCCTTGAGGGATATAAAGAGGTTGGTGATATTAGACGTGAAGGATCTTGATCGGCAAACGTTCTTCTGAGGTCAAGGGAGCTATCCTTCCTTCCTTCGCGTCGCCCCCTGGAAGTAGGAAAATCTCAGGTTCACGAACCCAAGACCCAAATGTCCGGGCTTGCTTCCCACCAACACCTCCTCGATCACTTCCGGCAAGGTCCAGTCAACTTACTGTAGTACTCGTTGTTCTTGGGGGCCCTCAAAACGCGGTCCGCATTTCCTTCGCCAGTCGAACTCGTTGCGCGACCGCCGAACCGTGGAGGACAATATGATTTCCACAGATCGCTCTGCAACCCGGCGGGTTCGGCGGTGGATCGGCGGGGCCCGGCGGGGAAGATGAGGAACTGCCGAAGAACAAAGGGTTCAGACGATCCGATGAGCCACCGAGCCATGGAAGTTCTCTCCTATACCAGGAGCAAGTGGCGACCTGCAAGATGTTTGTTGGGGGGGATTGGTTTCCCCACTGAACAGAACAGGTGAACAGCGGTTAACCTTCATTATCCAGGGAAACTGACAGGGTCAGATCTCGTGTTTTGAAGGCGGTGTCACCCACCAGACAACGCCTTTGAGCCCTTTGAAGGCCTAGTGCATCATAGATTTTGGCAGCAACCCTGGGTTCCAAGTTCATGATCCAGTCTTCTGTTTGGTCTCGTGTTTGTCGCAAGGATTTTGGTGGGGCTTCAGGTCAATATCCAGTTTCAGAATGTGTCAGAATTCAGTGGATGCACTGAGGTTCATTACCAACATCTTCAGTGAGAGCTCTTCAAAATACTTCAGCCCCTGGCGCCGCTGACCGCCACTTCCCCCAACCCCTGCGATCTGCACGTCGCCGTTGGAGGACATCCTTCGACACGTGGCCGGTGCAGGGCCGGGGGCGGTCGGTTTTGGCGTGCCGTTGAGCCGGCCCAGGTGGCGCGTGTCGGAGGTGCATCTGCCCCCCCCGTTCTGGAGAATCCGAGGCCCGGAGTGAAACCGCATGACGTACGCCAGATCCTTGGTTTTTCCAGCTTTGCCCATGATCCAAGGAGAAAAGGCGTGCGCTTTCTGCCGAACACCGACCGTTCGGAAGTTCAATCCGAGACATCGGACAGACAGGAGGATCATTTGATAAGCTAGCTTATACTTTCCGGTCGAGTCTACAATACTCGGAAGTCCCCCTAACCTGGCGCTTCTGGCCAATACAGGGACGCTGGCACCTGCTTTTTGCTGCCAAGGCTCCTCCATCCAACTCGAATTTCGATGGGGATCGAAGGCTGGAAAGCCGCTTGGGCGATTGTTTGCCCGGACTGGAGGGACTTGGGACTGAAGAAGGCTTTGAAAGACTAAGGCTAAGGGCTAAGGCGGCCAAGGGTTTCAGCTTCATGGCGTGTTTCATGATGAAGACAAGGGGGGGCCTCCATGTCTACTCGCTTTCCTTCACACCTCGGACGTGGTTTGATGCACCAGGAATCATCAGGATGTCGAATTGTTGTCCCAAAAAGAGACATGTGTTTGTTGTGATAGGCCGGCACCTGGGGGATTTCATGGGGGCGATTCAAGGCGCCTGAGACAGGAGAAAGGAGAAAGGCCGAAGGAGTTTAACATATAGTTTAACCCTTTGGTTTTCCCGTTGAAGGTATAGGGTGACTGCCTGTCTGGGGCTTTCATCAGAGGAATGTCCGGTGTGTGAACATTCATGTGGGCTTCTTCGGCTCGCACAAGCCATCCTATGTGGCACTTGAACAGTTGGAAACATTCCCGGCATTTCCCGCCCCTTTTTTCCGAACTCAGGCGACGACAAGCACACTTTAGCGATGCTCGGCAGGGGTGCGGGTCAAATGATGACAGCTGTATTGCATTAATCAATCATCATCAATCCATGGGCGCACAGAGCTTTAAGTAGCCAAATACAGCTCATCGATGTTCATGGTGATATTCAGTACTTGGCGAAGATCACATCATAGGAGTAAACCTTGGCACAAGGGTTGATGCTAGGGCACAAAAGCTCGCATCCTGCACACATCCTGCATGTGCTGATTTTGCAACATCCTGTCACGAGCCCTCGGGTGCGAGGGAACCTGGCCAGGTGCCACCCTAAGAATCAAGATGACCCTCAAGGAGTCAGGGTCCAAACCCCTGCTACCCTATGGAATGCGGGTCAAGACCCTCCAGTTCAGAGTGGTCTTTGGATGTGCATGAGGTGCCGGCACAATCCAAGTCCCGTTTGGCTCCAAGGAGGCAAGGATGCCAGCGCTTCATCCTGTTGCCCTCGGACCCCAAGCGCACCTCGGCGTACGTACGATCGTCCCGCTTCGGAAGGGTGAAGGAAGACGTATCAACGTGGAGGCGGCTGCCTGGCCAAGACTCCTCTTTGGGTGTGGTTTGCCCATGTCTTGCCCGTATAGAGATCTATACTGTAGATAGAAATCCACGAAGAAAGGTCCAAAGCAGGAGGACATCGCCAAGAAAACACCCCGGCTGTGTCACTTACTCATTCATGTAGCCTACTTGCATTATCTTGGATTAGTTACTCAGTCTTAGCTCATGGTGGCAGTTGCATAATTGTTCTCAATACATCTCAATACTAGTTAGATATATATCATATCCATATAGTTTGATTGGGGAAACATGCAGCCTTTTCTCAATCAAAGAGGACGGTCAACACGTCAACACGTCGGTCAGACCATTCCCAGACACGACTAATGGGACTGCCATATATGCCGATCAGTTGACCCCCTGGCACCACCCCAATTGTATATAGGCATATATGGCACACATGGAGTGTCAGACCATTGTTTTCTTCGACGGTCCATATGACCTTTTTTCTGTGAGGTCCAGCCGCTCGAACAACACATGACTCTCCCTGTGTCCCTGCAGGTATGGCCTGGGACTTGACAGGCATGGACACTCGACTCAAGCTTGGCGTCCGTGTGGGGTGGAGAGACTTTGGGCGTCCGAAGAGATTTCCAGCTAAGATGTGGGGTGGCATGGTCATGCTGAAGGACCAGCCCCCTGAGAGATCCGGCAAGACCCGGATCTAAGATCTACTAGGTTACAGGCGACACAGGAAGTGCTGAGGGGGTGTCATCAGCAGGGGGCCGACTGCGCGGCGCGTTGGACGGGCGTTGGAAAACGCCAGTGAGAAGCTTGGGAAAGAAAGTGCCGGACATTGCCGGACACCTGGTCCGCTGTTTTTTGGAGTGGCCTGACATGAAAAATGCTATTTACACCAAGGTATACCTTGGGAAGTTAGAGATAATAGAGACTGAACATGAACAACTGGAAGACATTTGTTTCTCTACTTACCAGTTTGCTTTCAGTTTTGTAGCCGGTTCAATCCCCAGGTGAGTGAGATGTTCCGTCGTCCCGGCTCCAGAATCACGGAAAAACAGCAGCATCCGTTTGGTTCCAGTTGGTTTGACCAAGTTTGACCCTGACCCTTCAGTTAGCATCAATATGGCAATCACAATGCATTGGCAGTATAGCAGTTTTTGACGTGAATAAGCAAAAGATGTCACCTAGGAAGCTAGTCACCAAAGATTTGTTTGGACCTTTTTGTTTGAGGGCGGGCCATTTCCCACAAGCCTGGGTGTGCATCCTTTGTTTTGGTCGTTCCTTCCTGGGCACGGCACGTTGCCACCAAGGTGCTCCTAGTCTATGCCGCTTGGCCGGGTCCGCGCTGCGCAGAAAACCGTGCCTCACAACTGTAGGATCCGGCTGGAATCAGAGAATGCTTTGATTCAGGGACAAGAACCTGTTCCGTCAGACCAAAACCCTTCGGCATCCAGACAACGCAGTGCTGATTTGACGCATCAGCCGACCGACACCGGCGAACCGAGGACATGATTGCCATCCCCATCTCCGCCTTCGAGCCGGATGACACGGTGTCCCTCGCATTGGATGTAGTTGGAGTATAGTTCGTGCATGCCAAGTACTGGAGAAGAAAACGCGCATCATGCAGAAATGCACACAGCGCGAAAAGCATGGAGTATGAGGGTGTTCGTTTTCAGTGTATGATGGTGTGAGCATCTCTCGGATCTATGGAGAGTTGGGGGTTTGGGGTCCAGGTTGTCGCTGCCGAGATGGGGAGATGGAGAGTTTCGGACGAGATGGGCGGATTTGGAGGACAGGAGCACCACTGTTTGAAGATCCGGTGGATGGCGAAAGCAACCAGATGCAGCAGGTTATAAGGGGTACATGCAGTTGGGCTAAGTCTCAACCTCTTTACATCCTAGGTCCTACTTACCAGGCATGAGATCTGGCGATTGTAGCTGAAGAACTGGGGCTCACAGGCCTATTGGTGCCACCCAGACCTCGGTTGGCCACCGCCCGGCCAGTGGCCGACCGGCCGTCAGTGGATGTAGCGTCCTCTAAGGTCCTTGAAAACACCTGATGCCAAAAGAGCTGGAAAACACTCCTGATGCTCTTTAAACCGATAACTAGAGGCCTCTTTATTGGGGAGGAGGGCTGTCCCACTCAACACGAAGAGCTGGATTCCAGCCTCCTGGCGAGTCGAGTCAGCATCAGATCATCATTATATAGATCATCTATAGGATCTACGCCTTTCAAAACCAGAAGCACCAAGCACCGTCGCATGTGACACGTCCGCGACCGCGCATGCGGTCCGCGACCTGAACTCTCGAGGTTCAGCGACTTCATGGGATGGTTGACGCAGATCTTCTGGACCTTTGATATCATCATGTGCGGACCGCCTTCGTCCCCGTCGCCCGCGTCGTCCCCGTTTCACCCCTGGCGAAGGGCGGGCCGTCCAGAGTCTGTTTTCGGACGCCGTGCGGCGACGGATCCCCGGGTGCTTCCGAAAGGACAAGGTCCTGAGATGAGTCTGTCGGACTGCCCCATGTTCCGAAAAGAAATGCATGGAAAGAGGGCAGAGGCGTGGGGGAAGAAAGCCTCAATGGTGGTAGGAGAGTTTTGGGAGGTATGATGTAATAGTTTTTATCATGTTTCATATGGTTTGGTTGATGGGGTAGGAGGGAGTGGCGTACGGCGTAGCCTCTGAGGGTCGAAGATATCCTCGGACAAGTCACCAGGGACCTATTCGTCCGACCTGACAGGGGCTTCTTGATGCTTGATGTGAAATGGCTAGAAGGGCTTGATGATGGGGGATAAGTGCAAGATCCGGGTGATGCCAATTTGAGTCAGTCCTGGTGATTGCTTAGGATGATGTCCATTGTTGCTAGGCTTCAATCCCCTTCTGGAATATGTCCTTTAAGCAAATCCAGGTCGTGAACAGATCTAGATGCCAAAGGCCCTTGGATCTTTGGACGCACTCTACAGGTCGCTGCTCACGGGCTACGTGAACAAAGGGCAACTGGTCACTGGGATGCAGCAAGTACCGGTGGTATGTTGGACTGGCCATGCTTAGCTCTTCACAGTCGTTGTTTTATGTTTTTTGGACACAGCTCCAATCACTCAAGATCGCAGCGCAGTTTAACACTCACCCTCCATCGCCACTGGTATTTTCAGACTCAAGCTTCAGAGTCAGAATCCCCAAGCTTCAGTCCGGATCCGTTTTTGGGAGGCCGAAGCGCAGAAATCGACCCAACTTTGCAGGTGATGTCGCCCTATCAGATCTTCATCAACTACCTGCTTCTTGGCCGATCTTCTCGCTTGGCCACGCGGCCGTTGTCGTTCCTCGGGACCAGACCTGGACCAGATGGTGGGACCCATGTCTCCTCCCAGGCGTGCCAGGCGAAAATATGGCCGAGCTAGTGGACAAAAACATGGTCCATGGTCATTGAGTCATTATCATATGT